CCCCTTATCGGCGACAGCGATGTACGACGAGTCGATCGCATATCTGATTTGAATTTTGCGCATTACAGCCCATCGCCTCTACCGCCCCAACTGCGCCCTCTAAATAAACACTCGAACACTTTAACATGCTCGGCGGGAATTTCACTGGAAATGTTGACTTGCACTTATTTCTTCGAACGTCGGCTACGTAAATATGGAACACCCGACGTGAGACAGAGTATTTCATTAATGCAACCTGTTGAGCCTTTGTTTCCCGTGTCCTCTTTACAAAAAACTTGGGAGAAGTCACGGATTAAGATAAAAACTCTTCCGCTCAGTGTGTGTGTGTGTTTTTGTGAACTGTGTTCTTGTGGTAGAGGCTTACGTAACAACTTATGCTGCACGATTACGCCAGCTCGACCGAGATACTCGAAGTAGCACGGCGTGACAGAAGGCTGGCGTAAATTAAAATTATTTATAGCTTTGTGTTTCGAGGTCCACACATTCGGCTGTTGCTTTCAACATCTTTCGAATCGGTAGCCGTCCCTAAATTCTCACCATCTCAATTCATCAATAGGGAGAGTAAATAAGAAACTATAATTCTCAGTTCCAGTTGTGAAATAAAATAAAATTGAAATTGATAATGAATTTTATTTTAGGGCCTCTTTCTCTGTACTCTAACACATGCTACTTAATTTATATGTCGTAATTAAATAAAAATTAACACTAACTCCTCATGTCTTGATTCCTTTACTTCATAAAATCGCTAAATCCATCAATCAATTATTTCTTCTTTTTTCCATTGACTTTTCTCTTGACATTCATCTTAGAAGCGTCCTTTTTCACCTATATTGTAAAACCCTAAAAATTATTACATCAAGTCCAAAAACACACAAACTGTGTTACATTTTATTCTCTCATCGAACACTAACAGTTAAAAACTAACAATTTAGTTTACAAAAATGTAAATAAATCTCTCTCATCGTTTACAAAAATTTACATGTTCAAGTGTTGGGCATGCTGTAAAGTATGCAGTAGATCGCGCCAAGCATTGCTGAAACGCAATAAAGAAGGTAGTGAAATTTTCGCGCTGGGACATGGCTTAGCTAAGGTTAGAGTGTCATCGCATTAACCGGAAAACGCAAGCTCGAATCCTGGCAGCAGCGAAAAGAAAATTTCAACAATTTATCTATAAAATTCTTATTTAAAAAATTTGGAACGCACACGAAGGCCAATTATCAAATGTTGGCCTACTGTATTCGGAGTATGTTTGCGCGCCTTTTCTAGCCCGGTGCCCACGTTCCAAGTTCCATTTAGCGGCAATCAGGACAAGCCTAGCGACGCTGTGTCAATACCGGGGCGAGAGGCTTCCCTGATAAACTTATCTCCCGTCCCCCCAACCCTTTCTCTCCGCCGTTTGCGTTTATCTCTCACGTACACACGTATGTATGTCCGTCGGTACGGCACCCGCACAGCAGTATACCAGTACCTACTGGTTAAATATTTCTCGAACTTTCTCGACTTCTTTAAATAATGACAACGAACTTCACGGAATAAATTTTCTGACGCTCAATTTGTTGTTTTCCCTTTCCAGAATCGACAATTGATGCAAATTATTAGCACGAGGTTTGAGCTTCTGGGCGTGATTTATATTCTACATCTGATTTATATTCCTTTAAAAACAACTACAATATTTTATCCCCTTATGAGCGTTGTCTATTTGGCACGTTGCCCACCAGACCGCTACAGGAATATCAAAGCAACAGATATTTCCTTTATAGAAAAGAAACGAAAAACGATATAAAATATTGATAACTTTATCAAACAATATTATTTTTTGCAGACACTTCGAAACAATTTCACCAATTCTTTTTGAAGAAAGTCCTTTCTAAATAATATTTTTCCCTCTGTTAAATTATGAATTTACAAAAGTTGAACTTAATTCAAGAACGTAACGCACATGTCAAAGATAAACTTTTATTACTCCTCTTTCCTTAAAAGGGTATCTTTCGTATGATTATTTTTTAACTTTTCTTCATTTAACCAGCACTTCATTTACTACACTATAATTAATTAAACAAAAAATATAACTTTTAGCGGCGAAATTAATAAATCATTAAAATTTAAAGAAACGTCTGTATTTTATGACAAGCCATTTTCTGAGTACTGCTTAGAGAGATTGACATAGTACAAACGCGACTGACAAATAAAATGGAACTGACTTTTCACTCACCAAATTGTTCAGTGAAATCCGGAAAATACTGCTCTTAAAAACTCGCATCGCGCTTCATTCATAATATTGACATTCACGTATGAATTTGTTTTACCTTAAAAGGTTTCCACTCAAAAATGCTCGAGCGTAAATTTAATGACTGCGCTCAGATTCGCGTTAATTCAACGCCATTTGCGAATATTCGACATGGCCGTTGGGGCGTTAAACGCGCCGTTACGTGGCGAAACAATTAAATTTTTCATACGTCGGTGGTATTAGAAGAATTTTAGTGCGGCGAGGCGCGGATTTATGCGGCATTAACTCGGGCCGCACAGTAACCCTTCTTAAGTCCGCACCGTTACACCGAGATCTTTGCTTCAGTGTCGAATGCTGCTTGATTCGTGCCGATCGATATATCGCCCCGGGGGCGCGCCTGCCTGCCGGGGCTAAATACAATTTACCTTTGTTATTTTTCGTGTCATTAAACTGCGTCGCGATTTCGAACGCCCGATCGGGATTGCGAGCCCCAACGCGAATTGTTTGTGAGCTTTTGTTTCCCACTTCGCTCGCCAGCGACGCGACATCAATTAACATAGGATCGCGGACTGAATTTTCTTCACGCTGGTTCGTATCGCTTTGCGATTTAAATGCGAAACCATTCACCGTTCTGTAAAAGCGAAGTTTTCGAACTGCGACTAAAACTTGAGCAGTTTTTTTTTAAATATATAGAGATAAATAAAATTGGAGTGTCTGTTTGTAACATTCAAATAACTGCTATTTACTTAATGCATATGGATGTATACACGGTACATATACCAAAATAACATTTTTTACAATTTTTGTCTGTCTGTTTGTTCCGGCTAATCTCTGAAACGGCTGGACTGATTTGGACGGGACTTTCACTGGCAGATAGCTGATGTAATATGGAGTAACTTAGGCTACTTTTATTTTAGTTTTTTTTATTTTAAATTCTACGCGAACGAAGTCGCGAGCACAGCTAGTATAACATAAGAAATGTTATATCGCGTCATCATGAATAGTAACAAAACTTAAACACAACCTTTGTCTCGTATAAAACAGGCTTGAAATTATTAGTTCACATGTTTATACATACGCGCCTCTGATGATAAAACCTCCCGACGAGTTTTCAACTTGAACGCGTTTATTGTTCGTATTTTTTTATTCATGAGACTTGGCGGGAAGACACTTCGCTCTGAGGCTTCACGCTCACCTCGACGCGTTAATGCAAAAGCACGTAGCTCTACGACGGGCCAGAAAGTTGTGCAAAGTGCACAAAGTACGCAAACGGCGCGACAAAGCCTTCATTTGTCGGCCTGTTTCATTCGCGTGACAAATGTGGACTTGACTTTACATACCTCGCTAGTAACTACGCTCGATGACACTCCAGCTATTACCCGTATATATAGCGTGAGGAATCCATTTGTTTATGTCTTATTTACATATTCTTATTGTATGAATAATGAATTGAAAATAGCGTCACATTTTCGTGACAGATACAACCCATCTTAACATTATTTAAGACTGAAAATCGACGTGATACGACAGCGCAAGCTTACAAGTTGGCTGGTCTGAAACTACATTTGTCTCACTCCTTTTATGTAAACTATCAAGATAGCAAGATAGTAACTAAAGCCCTGCAAGCTTCTTAACCGTTTTAATTGCTATACAAAAGTTAAAAACTTAACGTAAAAATAATATCAATAAATGTTACTATATTCTTATTATGTAAAAATTCGCCGGTTGAGATTAAAAATCCTTTCAAAGCTTAAATTGGACAATTAAATACAACCTTATTTAAATAACAACAAAATAATCCAAGTTATTTTTTTTTAATAAAAGTTAACAAATTGATCCCTTCGGCTGTCTCAAACATAATTTAAGACAATGTAAAATATCTACTTTTCTCTAACGATTCTACTCGGCAGCGAAAATTCTATTGCTGGAGGCTTGGGTTAGCGTAGATTGGGTAATTTATACTTGCCTCCTGGCCTCCGCCCTTTCTCGGGGGTGGAAGATACAAGCACTGAAAGAGACTTACCGTCCGTTAAAATAACCTAATGAATCAATTAAACGCACAGCTAACGCTGAACCACTTTCCTAAATTTGCATTTTAAAACACATAAAAAAAATTTACCTATTTATTTTTCTTATGCAAACATGGCATTTCCATTGACGTTTATAACAAAAAATATTTCTTTTGAGTATTATTTTATAATTGCAAAAAAGTAAAAAAAAACTAACTTCCCATAAATGTCATACTTCTGAGCAAATGCTTCACCGCTGAAAACGTGACAAGTCAGCAATTAAAATTAAGAATTTCATTGGTGCCGGCACCGGGGATCGAACTCAGGTTGCTCGAGTAAATTGAATTAAAGGCTAGCGCCCAGACACTGAGATATCACGGTGAGGTTTTTAATATTGTAATAATAATTAAATTAACTACCATCGGTCTTTATAGATCGCAATGGTCGTATTTTTTTTACGGAAAAAAGGAGCAAACAAGCAGGAGGCTCTCCTGATTGCAAAGTGATCACCGCCGCCACCGGAGGGCTTGCGTTGCTCGCCCTTTAGGAAAGAATACGTTTTTTCCTTGGAACTTACTACCCAACCCTTTCCTCACAAAATACAAAAATATTTTGTAACAACACTAAACGATTTACGAAAAAACTGCAACTTGTTATGTATTTTAAATGTTATAATACTCGTAATATCATTTGATAATAACGGGCAACTTCTTAACCTTTCTTTAGTACTTACATGCTCTACTAACTGCCGATTTTTCTTTTAGGTGGAGTGCAAAAAAGCTCAGCCGAAGGAGGTGATGCTACCGGCGAACCTGGCGAAAACGAGAGCCGCTGGCCGCGGCGCCTACGGTGAGTTGCTAGGTAGCGCCGTGGCGGCGTGCGCCGGTGGCGTCCGGTACGCGCCGTACCCGGTACACGCGCCGGCGCAATTGCTAGTGACCGGCGCGGGCGTGGGCGTGGGCGTGGGCGCCGGCGCTGGTGGGGTGGTCCACGCGGCCCACGCGGCCGCATACCGGCGCGCCCTCGCCGCACTACGCCCCGCACCCCGCCCGCAGCGACCTACGCTCACGCCCCTCACTATCCCCCCCCTCGCCTACTCCGTCTCCGATCTGATCAGCGCTCATGCTCTGGACATCCCGACCCTATACTCACCTCTGACCCATGCCACCCTCCCGACCCCACTACCCCTCTGATCCGCAATACTCTTTCAGCAGCACCCTCCTCATCCTTTTTGAATTCCACCTCTCTCATCAGGAATTTTGTTTTCCCTAAAAAGCTTTGCTGGACAGTGACTCCCGCCTTGTTCTCACACATTCCCCCCTTTTCTCCTACTGCGGATACAATTTAGAAACATATTTTAAGGGAAACTGATAATATCCGAAGTGTCTTATTTTAGTAAATACTATTAGAAAAGAGATAGATAGAGAATTACGAAATTTATATCAACATCAATTAGAACGGCCATAGAATGAGTTTTTTACATGACGAAAATATAAGGAAACTACATAATATCAAAATCTGGAACAATTTTATGTAGGGTTGATAGACTGCGATATTTTTCTACCAGGTAGTAGGTGCTTAATTTCATTTGATTTAAAATAGATAGAATTAATAGAAATGAGCCTGGTATTTTTCTGGTTTTAAAGTAGCTTAAGATATGGAATATTAATTAGGAGCCATCGGTTCTGCTGATTCTTGCCAATTTTTCTACACTTCCATCCATGTTATATGACTATACCGATTAGTATGTTGAAGACTAGCCATTTATTATTTGAGGATGATATTGCGCAGTGATTTCATAACTCTATTTTTATTAAATTTACATATTCTTTTGTATTCTTTAGCTTTAACTATGAATAGCTTTTCAAGTTGATGTCGGCTTTTCAAAAATGTTATCAATGGAAGAAAAGAGGTACTTATAACCCGTGGATGTTACGTCTGAGTTTTGTGAGAAAATTAGTTTTTATTTTATTTATTTTACGAAATTAGTTTAGGCTGTTGCCATAACTGTACCTTTTTATGTATTTTAAGAATTTTAGAAATTATCTTTTAATTTTTTTTAAAATATATTTATTTTGTGTTAAATGCTTAAGTATAACCAATCATTATGTTGACTACTAGATTAAACTAAATCACAATTGATTGATGTGTTACTGTTACTTAAACAGTCGAAAGTACATCACGTTTATATGTGTAAGATAAACTTTGTAGTTTCTCTTAACCAATAGTATTAATTGTATTAACTTATTAAATAGGTCACGTTTGGTAGAAATTAGATTAATAAAAGTCATTTGTTAAACATTTATAAACGTCTGTTTGTTTAACATGTTTAGATTTAGACTAACAATGTGTAGAATAGATTAACGTGTCAAGTAATACATATATATGATATTGTCATTTATGGTGATAGAAATATACACTAACATACCCCATTAAATGCCATTTAGACTTACGATAGTAGTGAATTCTTAGAATTTTTGAATGTTACAGTTTGAATAATATAAGTATATTTTACTCTGTACTTTAAATGTTTGTACTAGCAAATAATTCGCCAAACAAAATAGTGTCTCATGGCACACTTATTGACGCAAGTTTGTTGTCACAAATATAATTCGCAAATTGTTAATGTAAGATGTAAGGATCGATCAATTTATCTAAATGTTTTTACATTTCTAGATTTCATGTGGTCATTGGGTGCTCTTCCTGATGGTAAGTTGTTTTCCCCCTTTTTATGACATTTCCTTATGCTATCCAACATTTTATTTGAATTTTTCTGTCAATTTGGAAATTTCCCCATTATTTATTGTTCCCATTTTATTCGAATATTAAGTGTAGCACTAATCAGAGATACCAAAACGGATCATACGGGTAGCTTTAACTAATTAATAAAATAGTATACTTTAAAGGGTGAGTTTTCGACGTCGGTCGCCTTAATTAATGGATTGTTGGGCATTGCGTTGCATCGTGTGAAATGGACATCCATCTGCCCTGTGATGGATCATGAAGCCTGACAGATACACTATTTTGATTGGCAATAATGTGATAAACGATCTGGTGTGGTAATCATATCAGCCACCATCGAAGTTTTGCCCATTATAAAATTTGCATATTTGCAATGCACTTCGATATTTAAAAATTTATATGTCAGGCCGTATACAAAATATTATGCACATGATTTGTCGTTTATTCTATTAGTAGATTTTTGTTTCTAGAAGTAATGTCATACTAGTTTAGCCTTAACTTGAATTATTTAGTTTTATTTATATATTTCTTTTACTTGAATTATTTATGGAGTATGTTGTAGATCCGCGTAGGGTCTTATTTTCCAATATTTATAAATTCATTCTATTAATATCTTAAACATCAGCTCACAGCACGATTGGCGGTCGTTTAAACTCAAATATTACTGAGATATTATAACATATTTTACTGCAAGCAATTACAATTTTTTGAAACCGAACCATAGGGAAACACTATGCCAATGTTGATATCGATCGAAAAATAACAATCGGTGCTTCACTAATTACAACATTTGCATTAAAATAGCGTCAAAGCAAAGCATGCAATCTGATAATTAACCTTACTTTTCAACGGTTCCGCGCGTTATTTTTCCGCGAATAATGTGTTATTGTTTGTTTCACAGGTTTTCCCGCAGCGTACGCCGCCTACGCGGCTGGACGTAGCTATTCGGGCTATCCTAGCTTCGGGCTGCCATACCCAGCAGGTAATCCCCTCGCGAGCTTGCACCACCAACTGTCCGGAAACCACTACCACCACCTGGCGACACTCCTGCCATACCACCCACTCGAGCTCAGTGGGGTTTACAATGTACACGCCATGCATCTGTGAACTCGCGCCGGCGACAATGCATTCCACTAACCGCTAACAATACGCATATGGCACTCACTGATTCGCTTTCCGATTTACTCTTCAATCGTTTCAAAACTTAACACCGCATACTCTTGTATGTACTCGTTACTTTGGTGTCCGTGTCCTCACTTCCTAACTCGTGCCAAAGCAGCGGCAAAACTTCGTGTGAACTCTCCTAACAACTTCACTAACAAGTTAACACCTCTAACAATGACTGAGCCATCTAGATAAATCTCCCATGCTGTCAATTACAAAATGTCCAAGTTTTGAAAATTATTAATGTTCATTTTCAACAGTTTTAAACATTCTGGCTAGATAGTAGCGCGTAGTATGTTTACTGACGATTTGTTCTAACAATCCTTAAACGCTCGGCGTCAAGCAAATACTTGCACAAATGTCATATAATTTCGTCTTCTACTCATATGACTTCGAACTCCTCGCTTGCCTCGTTTTGCCTCGTTTGCGCTAGGTCCCACTCTTCATAAACATTGAAAGCTTTTAAAGGGAATTGAAACAGATTTAGATAGGACTTATGAAAAAGTGTCGTCCTATTTGTGGTGACTTCTATGTAAATCTCGGGGAGGACAGAAAATAATTTCTACTAATTAAACGTAGGCTCTGAAAGTCTCTTCATTCAATGGCGTCTTAGGAGGCAAAAATGTAAAATTTCTTCGTTACTGTTATTACTCCTTTGGGTTTAGTTTGTTGTTTTATCTAATTAATCTAAACTAACGAAAAAAATCCTTATGTTCGATCGGGCGCGTCTGTTAGCTTCCCAATTGGGGTGTGCGGTTTTGGCTACAGCTGCACAAACAGCTCTCCCGTATTTGTTCATGCGATGTGTTGCGATCGTCTTAGGCGTACCATAATTGCCAGTGCTAATATTGTTTACTATATTTCTAAATAGCGGGTGAAGTTAAAAAAATATCTAAATAGAGAAAAATTAAGGAATTACAGCTCACACAGTGATTTTCCTAACTTAAAAACTGTTTTCTGAATATGTTTAACTGTCATTATCGTCATTAATTATTGGAAGCATTAAGAAAAACTAGTCCATAACTGCCGCACAAATCGTTCCAGATTAAATAGTTTTCAGCTTAATCTCACGTGAAATAAACTGTTCGGGTTCAATTATTAACTGAAAAAAGTGGACGATACCACAATTGTAAATGCGATTGAACAATAGACCGCTTTAGTAATTACGCAGGTGTAGGTACGCACAAAACCTTCAAATTAATGGCTCTATGAAAGAGACTCACCTGTCTCCCCAAACATTTTTTAAGATGTCAGTAAAGTGTCATTTTAGTTCTATTTTCAAATTTAGAATTAATGAAACTAGTCGTTTTTATATAAATCAACACTTTATAAAAGAATTTTAATTTATTACGTAGTATACTTTAAAATCTACATTAGAAATTTTGCAAATTGCTTAACGCTGTAACGTTGACAGGTTCAAAACTGGAACGTCACAATAAACTCGATTTACCTTTTTAGTCAATAATGTTGTGACATTATGTCTACAACACCAACGGTATGTTAGCGGTTATAATAAACCTTTTCGAGTCTTTTCTTTTCTGCATCAGAGAATCTGCTAAATATTTCATACCTCGAACTAGACACCATGTTGAAAATTTATTAGCATTTTTTACTAGCATTTAAATATTTGGAATCAAACATAGGTTTTCGGAATATACTTTTTAAATATTTAACTTTTTTTTTTACCTTTCATGAATTAGTTAAAATAATATAAACTGAATAAAAGTTACTTCAATTGAATTTTCTGCAAGGCAACACTTTTTGCCATAATTAGAATCTCTTACGTAATATCAAAATTCAAATATTACAATGAGAACGTTTAGATTAGCATACATTTTACTAATAATAACATTTAGAATTTTTTAAATAGAACATTTAGAAGTAGGTAGTAATTTAGACTCTTCCCAATCTATTAAATTAGGAATAACATTATTAATAGCGATAAAAGGCATTAATGCGATATATTCTCTTTGTAGCATGCAGTAGCGAGTAGAGTTTGGATTTTATAGGTAGAAATAAGGCTGAACACAACATCATGATATACAAATATAATTTGAACATAAATACATGCCCCAAAGTCACTGTTCAACGCACGGAATCCGTGCATGGCGTCTTTTCGTTATTATGTAGAATGCCCTTATGCGATGTATATATGATACACTTTTTAAAAATTATGTATAGTAAGAAATGTCTATAATATCAAAAAGATGTGTGGAAAAAATTACCATGAGGTTTTGATTAACAAACATCGCTATTAAACGCAAAAATTATACGGGGTACTGAAATGTCTACATAAGTCTTAATATTCTCCGTCTCTACTTCTCCATTACTCTTCTTTTACTCTTTTCTCCCCGTCACTTTACGCCAAATTGAATTATACTTATTGCCTCCGCCTACGTATCTCTACTGATAATATTTTATTATTTTTCAATAACAAATGAGTGACATTATTTTCCAATTTTCAACATAAAATAATTGCACCCAGTTATGGTAATAATAGGGTGAAGTTATTAATTACATTTTGTGTCTATCGTTATACAGACTACATATTCTATTCTGAGTCAAGTTGACAGTTTATTGATTAAATAAACAGTGCAATATTAAAAACGGCACTCTCAAATAAATAACATTTTATTCCAGCTCTTGGTTTAAGATTATTTATAAGGTAATGAAATATTTATTTGCAATATATCCAAATTCATATAGTTTTCCTTTTAGTCTTCGGATCTACTCATTTATTACCTTGACAGTCAAGATTCTGACAAGAAAAGATCAGATAAAAATAAAAATTTAACGTTACAGAATCGATATGTTGTGTTCGGCCAAGTTATATCGTAGTAAGCTAGCATAAAACGTAATAGATAAGAGACGTAGATTACTTAACTCTAGTTTCTCTAATTACTAAGTTTAGAGGATGAGTAGGAATTATCAAACATCATAGTTTTTTCTATGCGTAGATCGCAGAATAACTAGACATAGTTAATAGTGTTTAATTTATTCATTTGTCTTAAAACTACTAAAAACGAGCTTCAAATGCGTTATTTTAATACCAATTTGAAAATTTGCTAAACTGAATAATGTATACTTAGTAAATTTTTTAGTTTTATAGTTATTTCTCTATTATTCTATTTTAAATGTTTACACTGCTAACACGATCATGTTATTGATATCTTTATTAATTGTTATTGTTACGAATTATTTTTGGATATGAATAATATACGCTACCTTTTTCGTATTAAATTCACTGTATTGTACAGTAAATTTACAAGATCGAGGTGGATAAAATTTACAGGATCACAAATCCTAACAGAAACTATATGCTTTCTGAATTAGCCTCGCATTAATTTGTTCGTCAAAATTAAGATTTTCTATCGAAATTATTATGTAATTAAGTTAAAAAGTTCAATCATTACATCGCTAATTTTGCGACCGTCCTAATCGCCATCCTCTAAACTAGTCATATATTTTAAGCTTCAAATATTGTAACAAATACTTATACTCCTAACGAGAAGTGTGGTTGCCGACTTTAAATTGTTTTTATTCTTCCAAACGATACTTAAAATTAAAATCACCTTTTTAACAGTCACAATTTTTACACATATTGATACCCCGTAATTTAGTCCGTTGCGTGCTTAGAGATACTAATATAAAGTATACTATCACGTAATGCTACATTCCGAACTTCTGTTATTATCGATCAATATGTAAAATAACAAGTTATTACCTTCTTACTCCCTGCATCGTGGTTGTGCGTGTTACAAATAGGGTTTTTATTAGCACAAAAACACAGAGGCCTAAAATTCCGTTCGTGCACACAAATTTACGCAGGCTGAATATAGTATCGGGAAACTATCAATTTAAAGTTTTCCCATAAAGATTCGACAACTGAAAGTATCGGGTCTGTTCCGATTTCAGTTTAACAGTAATCAGTTTTTACAGCTTTTATTTATTAATTTATATTTTTCGGAGTAGTCGCAAAATAGCCGCTAGGTTTTTCCGAAACGAAGTAGCCCTTTTCGTGATTCCTCACATTTTTTTATTTAAAGGCAACGGTGCCGTCGGTGAAGCCTTCCGCGGCTCCGCTGCCGGCTTTGTAGCGTTTCTTTTTTTATTTTGTTGCCGCAGGTGTAGTGGGAGTTATACCGCCGGAAAGTCGCCTCTTGGTCGGTGCGGAGTTCGTAAACCCGGGCGCGCTCGGGCAGACCTCGTAGACCCGCGGGCCTTTGGAGCACGCACCGCCCGCATCGCCACACGACGCCACTAAAACATTCTCTCAAACACCCGTTAATGGCTCCCGGATTTTAACTAATGCAAATAAATCTTTTAGTTCCTATTGAACACCTCTTTCGTATAGCGCCCTCCGTTGCCCCCTCTCGGAATAGATCCAAGGAATGCAATGTCGCAGGTTTAACTGTTCGTTTCCCGTTTAGTATTTAGACTGCCCGAATTCGCAGATGTGTGTGCTTAACGATCGCCCGACTAGGTGCGCCCTTGTAGCACGGTCTATGCAATCCGAATGTTTCTATTGTTCACTTAAAGTATCAAATGCGGTATCCCTCAGGAAGTTATTCCAATCGATGCGAATAACAATTATTTAACTATATATCGAGCGTATTGCACAAGTCTTATCCTAGTGTTTTGTAACCCTTGTGTCAAATTTTGAATGTATTAAATCTTTATATGTGTAAGTCTAGTATTGTTCTAATTGCTGTTTCGACATATCGTCTTAAATACTCTAATTTTAAGTTTTATGATATTGTGAAGCCGCTATATTTTAAAATAAAGAAAGCCGTTGTATAAGCAAAACAGTTTTATCGTTATTCACCAACTGATCACTTCTCAATCGAGGTCGATCGCGACCTAATACATTAAACATTCGTTCGCATATCGATTGCGACAAAAATAAACTGGAAGAGATAGTGTGTTAGCATGGAGTTGGCTAGCGTGCTGTGAACTTCTATGGTTCCTTAAACAATGATCATTTACGCGAGCGCTGTAATCCGAAATGTCTTAACTTTGGTTTTCTCATTTTTCTGACTCATCCAACGCTGCAAATGCAGGCTGGTGTACGCGGCGCGCTCCTACACAGCAAGCCGGTAAGCACATACGTGAACAGTGTCCCAGCTACACGTTTAGGGCCCTGCGTTACTATTATTATTGTGAATGCCGCGTAGCTCAGCCACCGACAGAGGCACGTATGACCGCGGTCGTCCACCGCATCTCAAACATTCCTCAAATGACGACCAAACACGACCGCCCTCAGAATGCATCCCGCGAACCAAACACATCCACAAAACACTTTCCATAGTTCTATGTTATTTCCAACCCCTTTTTCGAAATAGTGTTAATAGACCTTCAGTTGGTACTTTACGCAGTCGAGAGAAGGCGTAGAAATTAGCTAGGGACATATTAAAGTCTGTGAGAGAGTATCAAATGCCGGCGTCAAATGAAAATGTCTTAAATGCCGCTAAGCCATCGTTTTAAATCCCAATAATTAGTCGTTGAGGCAGCGAGTTCCCACGTATCGCCTACAGTGCCAACTCCATTTGTAAGTTAAGATATTTGACCGTTAATTGTGTTAGTAAATGGTACGCTTAGAGCTTGTTTCTTAGGTCGGAGCGCAGTACGACTTTATTTCGCGCTATTCGACAAGGTTCTTAGTTCCTCTTGTAAATGCTAGACTACTTGTAAATAATAGATTCTCCATATAGTTCGGCTAATTATTACTTGCCGATTTAGAAATAACGGTGCTGTGTTTGGATGGGTCAGAATTTCTTTTCACAACTTTTATTTTTATTTTAGATAGATTTTATGTTATGAATGTATTTAGATTTTGGGTATACTTCAAAACGCTAGTCTAGCGAGCTCCATTGCCCATAAAATTTTATGTAGAAATTTACCGACGGAAAATCGGTCTGGAGAACCATATAATAAGTTTTATTAGCATACTAATCTCTTCTAGATTGTCTCGATTTAAGCACGAATCCTTGGCAAACAATCCAATACATAAGATAGTAAGTCTTTTGTCCCCTATGCTTCATGTCATATTAAATTTAATTGTTAAATTCATTCGATTATATACTTGGTGATAAATATAAAAAAAGGTGATAAATTTAAACTTTAGGGGACAAACGATTGAACTACATCTTGTTGATTAGTGCATTTTAGTCACTATATATTTACGATATGAAAATGAAGTGTTGCCATGAATGCAAGAAGTAACAGCGGTTTGGTGAAAGAAGTTTGACGTCACAGCATCAATAGGGCGAGTAACGTTTACTTTTGAAAATATCAGTAATTTGATCCGCTCTGTGCCAATTTGATAATTTAGTATAGTGTAGGCAATAATGGCCTTTAAGATTGTTAATTGTAAAGTTTTTCCTTAAGAATATAAAGTGTGGTAGAAAATTAATAGTGCGGCCAAAAAAATGTATTAGAAAAATACTAGAAGAACATTAATAGTCCCTAGATTAGACAAAGAAATTAGAAAGTGAAAAAGAATTTATGTAAGCGCAAGATGTAGTCTCAATCTGGCCATTAATAATATCTTTACTAGCGTCGTTTATTAATAGTATAGAATTAGAAATTTGAAATTATTCAGGAGATTTTATTAATACGTTAATTAGAAATGCTTCAAAATTGTCGACTTCAATGATCAGTTTTGTAGGATAGCGTCTCGAAATTGATATTTGAATTGATTTAACAACTGCTTTCTTACAATAATTTAGTAGGTAGAAACGTAAGCGAATAGATAGAAACCATATTAAAAGAAATTGTGATGGGTGGTGCAATCTCGTTTAATAGATGTATTTAAGTAATACAACATTAGTCCTAAGAAAACTTATATCTAGAATAGTGTCTTAAGTAATCATAACTTGTAATGCCTTAGGCAGAGTGTATTGGTTACATGTTTACGTGTAAAGTCATAAGTGCAATTAGACATCTTATTTAGTGATGTTCAACATTTTTATAGAATAGTAAATAATAATTTTGTCGTAGTTCAAGTAGATTACAATGGAGCTCTACAAGCAATATATGATTTGAAATTTGAAGATTTGTAGAAAAGTTTTGGACGAATTCAAAAGTTTAGTTATCAGTAGACAAGTGATTTGAATTTTTCTGATATGTTGTTTTTCCCAGATGTGTTTCATAAATTTTCATTATGCTTGTTTATTGTGCTTTAAGTGTTTTGTTTTATGGTAACATAAATGCTACCCCTATCCATGATTGAACCATCTCGTATAGATATTAGTGCGTTTATGAATTTCACGTCGACGTTAAAGATAATGATCGAAGCGTAAAGATGTATTTAATTCCCGAAGGGTACGAGAAGGACACGCGTTCGCTCCCTGAATCACAAATCTGGGAATGGGCGGTAGTGCCAGCAGAGAAACTCGATTAATTTGCAAGTGAGATATCCCCCGGCGGATAACCGGCAAGCCGCGAAAGCGTATCATCTTCGGCGAGTTATTGATGGCACCTATTAAATATACGTTTCCGCCGCGATCCGCACGCGGAGCCGGGACTCCCGTAAACGCCGAAATAAAACATTTCAATTCGCCAAGTGGGAAATGAAGTATTGGGGTCCCGTAGGTGAAAGATGTGACTGCTCAACTTTTTCTTTACCGACGTGAACATTTCCCACCCTCGTGGATTTACTCGAGATCGTTTCTTACCCATACTTTATCGATCCGCACACAAGATATATATTGTCGGCATATATTTCTCGGGATAATTGCGATCTGAGAAGATGTGGTCGATGGGTAATGCTAGATATTAATTACAGAGTTAGTATTTAAAAAAAATACTAAGAAGTTGCGTCACGTGAAAAGATATACGGTAATTAAAAAGTTTTATGTTCACAAGGAAAAGACATGAAGGCAAGGAGTAATATATTTGTGCTTAAGGGTGGGTCTTACCGTTCTACGCCCGACGAATATTTCGCATGGCCATCATCCCACTTCCGAAGAAGAATTATTAAGTTTCTTCGAACTTTGCAATTATGAAAGTTCGAATAGCTCTCCCAAGACGGCGGCTGAATTTATAGATGAATGTGTTCTTCCCTTTCGAGGTGAGATCGGACGAACTTAGGGTGCGAATTACATCTGACCCTATAAAATGGCCGTAGTCCGTAATAAACGAGCTGATAAAATTGGAAACCTGATATGTTTTTATGTATGCATTCCCAATTTGATCTTTTTTTATTTACTTCTTTATCGCCCCGCTGTACGCTATTAGATGTAAGTAGGTAAATAACGAGAATCGAATCGAAAAATTACATCTTCATAATTCCGTAAACCGGCGTACGCTTTCGTCCTCTATACCAACGTTTCTTGCTCTTTGCACAGGCATGTTATTGAACCGCGATACATTTAGTTTGTAGTTCACTTAAAGTTCGCTTGGAGTGAAGTTAACGTCCGAAACAGATATGACCGGTGTAGATAGCTGCGGAGTTGCTCCTCACGCTGTTTGTCTGTGAAGTGAATTGTTTAAGTCGTAAATTATTTGAGGTCAGGAACACGCCCGGAGCGCGAGTTAGTTGCGTCTGCCGCTGACTTTGTTCGCTGTGCGCTGGACCGCAATGTGAAATTGGAGCCATTAGTGTGGCTAGGATAGTCCGGATGCTTACACTCACAAATAGCAAATCATAAAAAGCCCGTCGCATCAGTCAATACAATTGGATTGTTCAGTTACAATGAGAGGAGGATATAGAGCGCCCAATCGATTAACATTCGGCAGACGTGTCTGGCTGTCGGCTACTCAAATTGTTATTTATTACGGGACGAGCCCCGATCGGCCACTCACGTCGTAAAGTAATGTTATTAAAGTGTGTCAGCATTTCGCAACTGGGCAGCTAGTGGGAGCGCGAACAGGCGTAAGGCGGCAACCCGCCGCAAATCGCAATCTATCATTCATCCTCCATTACTTATTTTGTACTTTTTTCGCAAAGTCACTCCCAGGCCGGTAATCACCTGGTGTGGCCGCGGACCCTCATTTTTCACGCGCAATCGTGGCTCGCACAGAATCTGACAAAAATAAAAATTTGTCGTACAAGCCAATAGCGCTAATGGTGGCGGTATGAGCAAGCGGAAAGTTTCAAATTAATCTTTCCCTCCTCAACTTCTCTCCATTTAGAGTTCCGTTTTAAACCAACCCGTTTCTCGTCAGACATTTGTCCCTGCGTTGTCTTACTTTGTAAAATATTTAATGGATATTTAGTGGACATTTTGGATCTATTTGTGGGGAATGAAGGCGGAAAATGTGGAATCAGTGAGTACATAGGCAACAGCGGGGTGACGAGACGGAATAGCCTCAAGCGGGAGGCGTCAAGCTGCTGCGACGTGCAGTGTATGCTAATGCCGCTCCCTATTCAATAAGCCGACCACCGCGCGGCGAGAACTCACGTCGGATAATTTACTGGATATTTTGTGAAAGTTTTTTCGCCCTCCGTGATTTATTCGCGCCAAACTTCAGGCTACGTTTTTCGTTTGGAAGCGCGCGACATGCGTGATCTTTACGGTTATTTTTTTTTTATTTCCATTCCGGCAGCATAATCTGCGTCTTTCAGCGCGACATGTGCTCCGGTTAAATTATTCGTGCGTATATGCGATTCGACTAAATCGCGACTGTGTCACTTGATTGCCGGCTTGCGTGCAGCGTGGCTTCGAAGAGTTGGACGTTAGATTTTGCGTTTCGAGCGTCACGTGACGATGGTTCAGTCATGGTTAGCGGGCCGCCACTAACGGGTTGAGTGCAACGCGGGTGTACGGAGAGGATGCGAATCATGTGTATGTTTGCAGTTGACCTGACCAACGGCCAACTCACACCGAACAACAACACACCGCTGCTCGCGCAGGCTCTCTCAGGTGAGGCCTATCGAACCGGAATGGTCCCGTATCATCACCATTACCGTATCAGCCCCGACAGCACTATCGCGCACTTTCCATGCCGACACTACACATATTAACTTCAAGGAGGCTTCAGTGACCGATTGTTAACGACGCGCTTTTTCATGTTAATAGCAGTCATTGGACGTCAACTACTTTATGCATTTTCAGGTTAAGAAATGAAATTAGGAACGTAGTTAAATAGTTTGTCCATATTTTGTATATTTAAGAATCTTCTTGGAGTTTTCTCACAAAAAAGGTACACCTAACTAAGAAATTAGGCGTTTGAATAGTCTTCTCTAATAAAAATATATTTATAGACTGTAAATATTTATAGACTGTAAATTCCTCATTGGTTTGTGTTGATTGGGTTACTAATAACTTTAAAAAACTAAGTTTTTGAATGAAACAAATATTACATAAAGTTTGCTGTATGTATGTTTACTCTTCTCTGAAGATATGAATACCAATATTCTGTGTTTTCTAAATATTTATCTCGTATTTCGGTACCGTAACAAGGAAATCGTGCCTAACAGTAGCTATTTGAATATACGATTTTAATTGATTCTTCTTACGTTATTAATTTTAAATAATATTAATTATTTAAGTCTCACACAATATAATGTCTATGGAAAGGTGGAGCAGTAACTACTTACGTATTTTACTGAGAAATAATATGTACGGCGTAGCATTTCAAATTCAATAAACTATAAACACGAAACGTATTTGTAAAGATGTAAACTTTAAATTAAACCGTTTAATTAACTATAAACAAACCCTTTAGACACAAAACCCACTTAAAACCCTTTATAGCACAATGATATAGCACAGGACTTTTCTCCAACATCCACTCTCCTATCAGCAAACAATTTCCTTCACCTATTCATTGACAGTTGACTTCTTAAGGACGTTGTAATCCACGAGTTCACAAAATAGTCTAAAAATACATCGCTAAGAAACTATACGGTCGCCTATATTATTTTAATTAACGATAGTTCAAAATTCGCAGATTCTAGGCGAGCCTTTGAGCGAGGTTGATAGGAGAATGCATTGATCATTGGCGACCTGACAGCTGTGGCTTTCGGCTTGTGACTCTACCGTTGTGTGTCCGCAGTGATGAACAACTACCAAGCCGCCGCTGCTGGCTTTGGGCCGCCGGCCTCTCCGCACGCGGCTGGTGGCCGTGCTGGGTTCCCCGCGGCCAGCTCGCCGGGACCCGCCCTGGATGTGTACGGGTCCGCCGCCGACAGCGTGGGCTACGTGCAGGCCGCCAGCCCCCAGCCCTCCGGATTCCCCGCCATCGCAGTCAGCCGCGCGCCCCTCAATTACACCCCAGTGAGTTCCTTAGCCGCCGCTTTGTGGAGCGCTCACGTGGTACCGCTTGCTAGCTTCACCTTGTCAATGTTTGGTTATCTATCGTCATTACCAGATTTTGTGCGGACCTCGAATTGGTGCCGCGTGGCTGAGTCGCGACGTTATAAGAAAAGTTCCCTGAGAGCTAATTTTTCCCGCGATGAATGGAATGGAATTATCAACTTTTAACTTGAATGTAACTTTTTTCATTTATAATGCCATCTTCAAAAATGCCTATCTCAGTGAAAGTCGAATGAAGACAATTCAAAAATTGTGCCTTTCTGAGAAAGTTTCTACTGTCACGGAATAAGAATTAATGTTTGTCTTTCTTTTTTTTACCTGAACTTTTGATGGAGGAAACGAGTCGTTATAATTAATTTTTGGTTCGCATCTAATCTTGGGATTGATACTTATTATGACAGTTGTTTTAGCAGATGACAGTATAATAGTCTAGACGTTAAAATAGGATGTTCGCCTAAAGCAAAATGTCTGAGCTAAATCAGCAAAGATGGTGCGACGAGCACGCCACAGATGCAATTAGGAGACGACGACACTAAAATTTTAGCGAGACGTTCCAATCTCATTACGGAACTGATCCTCCTTGACGCTCTTAAGCGTAATCACCGTAAGTTAGTGCGCAAGTGAAGCACGAAAGATGCGATTATGAAATATATTCCGAAATATGAGCGCGGGGGGCGAAGGAGGCCGCAATCTTCACGGTGCACCGCCACGAGTAATGGCTTTTTAAAACTGCGACCGCGCTCCATAACTGCTTTCCAGAGACGCCATCACTCTTCATTGCTTGTCGACGCCCGCCATTGCAAGCCAAGCTAGCGGTGTAAGCCGTACTAGTCCCCCCGCATCGCTTAGACATTTTTCAAACTACCCTCAATAAGGAACCCGATATTTTTCGGGTTCACCGAGATAGAAAAATTGCAATCTATAAATAAACCGTAGTTATAAATAATCTTGTAAATTACCCCTCACTAATGTCTACTCGCGTTCCACGCTGCCAGCCGGTCGTATTTCACGTCCGATATTAACCCAATCGCTCGTGATCGCCGTCCGAAACAAATACGTCGCTAATGAGAGAATGAACGATCGGGCGGCGCAGCGCGTGCGGTTCCCGAGTATGAAATGCTCTTATTAGGTAACGGGAATGCCCCCGGGCAATAATCGTAAATCAAGGAGAGCAAGTGGCGTAATTACCGTTGCGGAGCGGTCGCTCGCAGCTCTAACTCATCCGCTGTTGTTTTTATTTTGTCGACCGCGAGCTACCGCTCTATCGACTGCGAACGCCGAACTTACTACCTTTCGATCTGCCCCTCGAGAGTTTAATGTTCCAGTGGGCGCTTTAGCTATCGTTCAATTACGATGTGTATTAATATTTCTATATATGATATTCTCAGATGATTCTTTAACTGGTATACCTTTTTGCGATTTAATTAAATCAATCAATGTGTCGGGGTTGAAAGCCTGCCAATATTGTTAATTTTCTCCCACTGTATTTATTTCAGGGACCCCTGATTCCTGCGGCATTTACCAATGGTTACCATTGAAAGTGTTATAGCACAAATATATAACGTGAGTATTTTTCCGTAGCATTTTAATGCACTCCATGGTTTTTTAAATATTGAACTTTTAGGGGCTATAATTTCTAGGCATTTTTTGCACTGCACTGAAAATGATTTAATGAAGCATGTTAAAAACTTTTAAGTAATTATGCTTTAAAAAGGGGCTTAGTAAATCAAAAACATGCAAAGCTAATGGACTGAAAAATTTAACAGCTATGTAAATTGTCCCCGAGCCCACGCAACGTCACGTCGGGATTTTAAGTAAACAAATTTCAATCATACTCATATTTATGTGTGTTCATGATAATGTTATTAATTGATTTAATGACTAGAGTTTAAATATTCATGTTTCAAATTTAAAATGGCTTCAAGACTTTCGAAGTCTACGCAAATGGGGTGGTCAAAAATTACATTAGTACATCTCATTCTATAGTATTAGTACATCTCATTTAAAAGTCACACGAAAAGTGGGCCCACTTAATAAGAAAGAGTTGTGTACCTGGGGCTTCCCTGTGTGAAGACAAAACCATCACAGGTGGTACGTTATAACAGGTGGCGAGCGGCACGGCGACGCGCAGCGAGCGCTCGTGCCGACCCCCGCGAAGCAGCGCAACACTACACCCGCGCCCGCCGCACTACTGTCGCGCTGCTATCGCGGCCGTACCGCATCCGTGCCGCGGGCGCGCAACATCCGTACCACGGCCGCACAACAACCGTACCGCGGCCACCCAACACCGGTACCGCGCCGCATCCCCACCGCAGCCGCGTCGCCAAGCCGCCACGCCGCCGCGAAGCCACTGAGCGGTCGCACGCCGCATCGGCGACGGTCGTGTACTCCGTCCGACCGCGCGGACCGATCCGTCGACCGCGGCATCTCAATCTCACTGTACCCTATCCCAGTCCACCCCACCCTTTGCTCCCTCAACCCCGAACCCACTCCACACCCGAACAGAGGATGAAATATCGTCTCCATTGTAAATAATGATACTCTACATTTACGTCTATTAATTAATTAAACAGGTATTTTTTCAAATTATTCTCGCTTTCGACTGTACCGTAGATGTGTTGTCAGTATAATAATAAACTACAAAAAAAAAATTACATTTCATAATTAAATAAATGCATCTAGTGGAGTTTATTGCAGGGAGGTATTATATCTTAATAAATATTTTATTATTCATAGTTGAATACAGTGTAAGATGTACACCGCACGACCTCTGTCATAGTGCGGTTACTTTAGATAAACAGTTTACGGTGAGCGATGTTCAAAGTCGCCGCCGATTTCGCTAGTAAGAGTTTTAAATAGGACGCTTGTACGACACTTTGAAATGTTCAGAATTGTAAGGAGTTTCGGTCTTGTTAGTTTTCGTCCCTTCCCCAATATCCGTTGTACAGAGTTGAGTTTGTCAGTAGCGGTATAGTAGCGCCGGTGCGGCCGCGTCCGCGGCACGACGCGGCGACGATGCGGCTGCGACACGTCGATCACACGACGGCAACAAGATCGCCAGACCGGTGACGACAATAACGCGACTATTGCGCCCGCCGCGTCCGCCGCGCATCCCTTCGCTCGACCACCACCACATTTTATTCTATCTATTTTTAATATTAATGTCAAATATTAATTAACATAATTACTATTATATTACTACCGCATTGTGAGCATATTTTTAATTATGGATGTCATTATTCTTTCGCCTAATTCGAATTGTATAAAATCACTTCTTTGATCGACCGTTCTGTTACTATAGGAATACATTTATCGATTTCTTTCTCGTAAGACTATTTGTATTAGTGTCTCGTATACATACTTTCTAATAATATGTATTATGGTATAAAATTTTTTATCCTAAGGATAATATGGTCATATTTACGATTCATAAGGACGTTTGGAAAGCTAAGTCGGAACATTTCAGAATATCTCTCATCGCATTAAGATAATTCGTTTCTATCTTGTACCTTTGAAGTAGGTATTGTAATTATAATAAATAACAATTTTGTGCATTACGTAATTAATATTTCATTGTTTCTTACGATTGTATTTACCTTAATGTAAGAACACTGTTGAGAAAAAAAAAATTCACGCGGCTCCATTTGAATCGCGGAGTAACACCGTACTTAGTCGTATATATCTAAAGTTTTAATCAAAATAATAATAATAATTATATAAACAGTAACATTTTCGTACCGAGACGGAGTTGTAGTAGTTACCTGAAACAAACATTTCAATAAACTGAACACAGGGATAATAAGAGAAACACAGCCAAAAGCGCAGGTTCGAGGTAATAGAGTAAATAATAAAGTCAATTCATTAATCATATTTGTTAGGTACTGGTGACATTTTCGAAGATCACTCTGTCTAGTTTGCAACAGTTAGGCGGCCGTGCGCCCACGGCCAGCTTGCTACACACGTGCACTCGGTTACCATCGTTCGTTATTTACTATTATTACTATTCATTACCTACATCAATTAAACATTAATATTATAAATCTAGGTATTAAAATTTAGGTAATAATAATGAACAATCTTTTAAATGCTATTATTATATAAATACGTTATAATTATAAATGTTTCCTGTTACGATGAAGAAAAAAAAATATTGAAAAATGATAAAAACGAGAATTCAATCGACATTCTCCCTTATGGTAATCTATTGTTTACGTGTACGTAGTTAATCGAATTGCGATGCGTTAGACGGGGCGCGTCCGCCGACGGTTGCGCGCCCGCTTCGCGTTCCCTTTCCGTTTCCACGTCGCCGAGAGGTCGTACGCCGTGATGACGTCACGAGTGCGGCACGCGATTTTCGCCGCGCCACGCCCGAGTTCCCGCTCAAACGCCTCCAGCGCCGATCGCGAAGACGGCGTCCCCCGCAACACCCCGCCGCACACCGCCGGTGACGTCCGCGGCCATCTTGTTAACGTTAGCTAGGAAATTGATGAGAAAAACTTGAGGTGTGACCCTATTCATGCAATACGGAAGGTCGCCATCACACCTGACATATTGACGTAATCGTTTGTTTTATATTTACGGTGTTATAGGTGTTTAAGACATTTTTTCTTAGAGTATTTAATTAATTACGATGAAATGTTATAATTGTTAGGCCCGGGCCGGCGGCGGGGCGGTGCGGGCGTACTGCACCGCCGTCGGCTGTCTCTTTCACTCTCACATCCTCACTATAATTATATTTTCTTACAGACCTTTTTGGATTAAGAGGAGCGTACACGGCCGCTTATCCCCGTACGCGTACGAGAACAAACAAACAAAGACACACGTTTTATAGTGAGAGACGTTCGTTTCGCCGCGTTCGTGAGAAGCCATCGGTTCGCCGCGATTGCACCGAGACGAAACCTAAGACAATTACTATTGTACATAATAGTTAGCCGCATGTGTAAAAAAGACGTTTTAGTCGATACCATCTATTCGATATAATTAGACTCATTCGAGCTGCAATCAGGTTTAGCTTGACGGATTATATTAGTTTCATTGTTGTTGTTATGTTTTGTTAATACGGTTTGTGAGGTTGTTTCATTGTCGTCAGTCAACAGTTAGGGCTCAAACGCATGGGTCGTGTTAAAGTCAGTTCGTTTTAGAAATATTTAGTTCCGGTTTTTATAGTTTGTAACTTTAAAAACAGCAAATTCGAATGAATATTTTTTGGTATAACCATTTTGTTTTAGTATTCATCATTTATAAATTGTTATTGCATAGCACATATTTAAAAATTTTAAAAGTAAGTTTATTTTATTAAGATTTTTATTTTTAATTGCAATATAATAATTTAAGACCCGTGTGTCACGAGTTAGAACGTAGAGCGTAATCGGCGCCCAGAGCGCTTGTTCGTAAACGCAATAAATAGTTTGATAATATCAGTCACCTTCTAGAAATGTGTTCTATATCCAAATAAAGACTACGTAAAAGTAAGCAAGATCTCAAATTTATTTTAAAAAATTCGTTTATTAATAATCCTACTATTGCAACGTATCGTATTATAACCATCTATAAGAAAATGGGAATAAAGAAAAGATGATTTATTATATTTTGTATATTGAAGTTCTACATTGATTTACACTTCGATCGACTTTTTATGGATAATAATTAATTTTAATCTAATAAAGTGACAGACTGGTAAAAGTTCGTAGAGTCGCCGCGGCGGCCTTAGATCAAGTAGCTTTGCATACTCGGCGATGGCCAACTGAATGTTTCAAGGACCAAAGGTATACTTATTCGCGTAGAACCGGACGCGCATTGGCTCCACACGAACCGACACCGACCTGATGATCGGTCGCTAGCACCGCAGCATCGGAGCGTGCCGCGTGAGGGTAGCGTTTGAGGATTCTCGGCGGGCTGTGGCGGTGGCGGCGGCAAGCGTGACGTCACACCGCCGCCGGCGCCTGCGCATCCCCGCTCCGGCATCCCCCCCGTCACCCTTAACCCCTTCCCCCCATCCCTCCGCCCCCACCCCCGCGCCGCACAACGCCGCCCGCTTGGTTTCGTTACTCGCGGTCACTTCTCGATTACGTGCTTCGCGTGCTGACTGATTTTCGATAGCAATAAAAAAAAATAATAAAATCAATTACCTAAGGTTTTACATTAAAGTAAATTTGGATTTATATACGTTCGAATTTGGTGTCGTGTACATTTGAAATTATTAGAGAATGGAGATAACGATAGGCGGACGACCCGCGACCGAGCACGTCGCGAGACGTCGCGGCGTCGGCGCATTATTTTCGTCATTTCTTCGTGTATAATATGTTACATGAATCTGTATACAATATGGATGAAAATCGTAATGGTGAATAAATTAGTTTTTACGGCATCTCTTTATTGAAAATAATGATAATATCAGACATTTTGTAAAGCAGCGGCGGATCCGCCCGCCGCCCGGATTACGTGCACCACTGCACTTTGACTTATTGGAATATTACATTATTATAACGTACATAATACTATGAGATATTTAATCATACAGCCTTTCGGGGCGCGCGTGTATGGCGATGTATGTATACACATTGTGCAATGTACATATACCTATTATAATACAATGATTTAAGACAAGGTTCACATCGTGCCGTGTGTATGTGGTAATAAATATAATATGGACATTGTTCAAACAATAACCAGTTGTTTTATTTACTGCGCCCTTTCCTACCGTTATCACAATTACAATTTTAATGGCTTTAATAGTCTACGGACTGAAAGCAAAAATATTCAGTCAGTGTAAAACGCAGATCCAGTTACAATTTGAAGTTATGATAAGAATTAGAATCACACAGATTAAAATAATATTAAGTTAGCTAGTTAACTCTAGTTTAGGGACTTTATTAACAGATTAGTCGAAATTAATTCAGAATTGAAAAAATGACAGTAATGAAATAATTGGAAATGAAAAAAAATAGTGTACGATTTATAAATAATGTCATCATTGATAAAAGGCAAGAAACTATTGTTAAATTATAACTATAACACAATGATCGTTCTTTAACGACTCAAATTTAAACAAATCTAGAATAATCGTACATCCTAGTCCTACCGGACTAAAGCTACTGACTTTATTTACCATACGAATTTGGTACAGAGATTATTAATTGGAGTGATTCACAAAATTACGCTTTAGTAATACAACAAAATTTAAACTAAGCTATTATTATCAAATCTAATCATATGTTAGATAGTCTAAGAGGTTGAATATAAGAAATGATAATATACGATATAAAATTATATAGCCATATAATTAAACGATTTAATATAATTAATCAGAATAAATTTACTACTACAGTTGAAACATATTACATTACTTACACAGTTAACACATACAAAAATAACTTTGGTAGGGCCACGCAACAGTCTTCGCAACTGCACGAATGGGCAGGTCCGTTCGGCGAAGTACCACGACCTCACAGAAAACCGGCGTGGAGTGGAGGTGTTATAGTTATGCATTTCTTCTGATGGCTGTGTTAACCGGAGCCCACTTTATTATAACTTGCCAACGCATCTGTAACCATACGTGTGTTGCAAATATCCATGGGCGGTGGTTATCACTGCCACAAAGCACGATTCAGACCCACCTGCATCCATCGACTTCCCGCACACCTGCACAGGTCGTCACTCCATCTAGTAGGCGGTCGTCCTACACTGCGATGGCCAGTACGCGGTTGCCATTCGACCGGTATAGGCGTGACATGGACATTAGACATGATCTTCGTCTTGTCCATGATCATCTTAAGGTCCGTTGAGAGACACCTTCCACCGTCTCTCGTAAAAAATATGAAGAAGAACAAGCAATAATCAAGAATTAAAAGTTAAAAACCGACTGCGTAACAGCTTAACATTTATGAATAGTTCAACACGCTTTTTGAATTGATCACTTTTCTGTTAATAGCGGCGAACAGAAAAATGTTCCATTATATAAAAACTAGAAGTGATATTATATTAAAGCATCATTAGTTCGCTGTTATAACTTTTTACAATATGGCGTCGTTAATCTGTTTGTCTCCTTACTTAATTTTGATTACTGTCACGTCTATACTGACGCACGCAAGATTGAGACATTTGGATTGACGCAATAATCATCAAAATCGGCCCACTCGCTTGGCCTATAAAGCGCCACAAAAACATATACAGGGTGGAATGTTTTGACCGCACCTGGAGAGAAAGTATTCTGAATATTTGAGATAGCCATTATTACCCAAAAGATACATAACGATTTCTTTTATTTACACAAATACTGTATATCGAGTCAAACTCGGTAAAAATATACGTACGAAAATATAAGTACGTTTTATTTCGATTTTAAATTCCCAACGTTTCCATCACTTTACAGCTTAAAATAATCTTCAATGCTTTAAAAAACGCAGGGCTTCAGAATCATAATAAAACGTAATAAAGTCCGTGGAAAAGTTTTATTTAACCAAAGGAAAACATTAATTTATTTTTAAAAATAGACATAAGACACAAACTGCATTCATCGATTAAATTATGCTTGACACACGGCGAAATAACAGTTTATAGGTACTGTTATCGCATCATTCTCCAATCCATTATTGTTTGGTCAATTATAAAAATCAAATTTATCTAACAAAAATGGTATTAAACCAAAGTAAAAGCATAAATATATTTCAAGTAACTTTAATAGCGATTTGTGGAAAATAATCAAAATTGTATAGTTAAACTTACTTCTCCAAATATTACTCAAAATTCCGCAATAAATGTAGAAAAAAGTAAAGTAACAGCCTATAACTGTCCCACTGCTGGACAAAGGCCTCCTCTGTACAGAGGGTATCAGGGCAAAGTCCCCACTGCGGATTGGCGGACTTATCATATCATCAAAATCAAAATCAAAATCAAATGTATTTATTCAACATAGGAGCATTACACTCACTTATTGATCACCGTCGAGCACGTGATAATTAAGCACTTAAAATTAGCAATTTAATTGGTGCCGGCATCGGGGATCGAACTCAGGCTGCTCGAGTATATGGAATTAAAAATGAGCGCCCGGACAATGAGCTATCACTGCTCCAAACGTGAAAAGAGATTCTTATTAGACAGCGAATTTCATGAAGACGAACAGGGTTCACTTTAGGCCTTTAATTATTAATGGGTTTGTGTTAATCCACGTGTATGAAGGTCATTTAAAAACTGTCATGTTATCTTGATTTGCTGGAACTGTTTAGAATTCGGTTAAATGTTTCACTCGAGGAAAAGCGAAACGGTATATATCTACGGTAAGATGGTGCTCGGCTACCATAACAGCAGAATGACCATTGCCTATGTTTATCACCATCTGAATACCTGGATGGTAGGAATGATGGAGGTACAAACGGCACAATCGAAAGGCTTGTGAGATAATACCGCTCCTTTTTAGTTTTCTTTTTTTGAGAATATATAAGAACACAACGTATCGAACGAAAGGTTTCGAAACGTTATCGAATTACGATATCAAAATTAAAATGCGTTAAAATCCGTAAACTAGTTTCGCGTAAAATGAAGAAGTCGATATATAGGAAATCAAATTTACCAAAAATTATATGTAACTGTAAACCATACAATTAAGATCTAAGGTTCAACACAAATTTGAGTATTCACCATAACCATTGTTATTAAAAGTTACCCAAAATTAATGAAACTGTGTATTCAACAAAATGGAGCTAATTTATAGTAAATAATTAGTTAGTTTAATTTACTAATTAGTTATTTTAGCAAATAATTTAGTTTAGAGTTTACCCATTCGATTCAAAAACACACGCAGTCTGCTGCACATCACCAAATTAAGAAAATGCATTATACACATTTACATCAACAATCAAATTTCCATGAGTAAATCGTCAGCCAACATGAAAAGGAACTTGAGCAAAATAAAGAAAATATTCTTAAAATAAAAGAGATCAGGGCTACATCTAATATTTCAAGGATTGCCTTTAAGGAGTCACCGTGAAATATCTGAACCAAAAAATAAGGGAAAATTTTTAGAAATAATTCAACTTTTCGCTAAATACGATGAATTTAATCAACATAATTTGATTCATTACAAAATAGAAGGGATCGTAAATAAAATTATACATGGCAGATTTTATAACGAAGAAAAAATATCGATAGGTTTGAGACGTAGCAGGATTAGAAGCTGAAGAGTCGTTCATTTTTTAAACAAATGTGATTTGGATAATGTTCCCATAATAGCGCTTCATATGATGGCGCAAGTGTAATGTCGAGTAAATCACAAGGTTTTCAAGCGATTATCAAGGAGAAATATGGTCCCCATGTCATTCACGTGGACTGGCGCATAAGCTTAATTTAGCTCTTGTGAACTCATGTGCTAATGTTTCACCAATAAATAAGGTTTTTTTAATAAATCTGGAAGCATTATATATCCTTTTTTCACACTCTGATAATCATGCCCATCTCAAGAAAATCTAAGATTTTCAGAAGCAGAATGCTTAATTATATAAACCTAATAAAAGAAAAGAATATTTACAATTTAATTCCTCTTGGAACACGCTAAACAATCTCTTTCCTCAAATCTTTTTAAATTAATTTGAACCACAAATGTGATCCTTATTAGATTAGACGGATGCGAGCGGAGCTTGGGCGGGGGTCATGCTAGAGAATTAAGAAGTGGCTATGAGAGAAGACAGGTTCTCAAGCACTACTCTTCATCATGTAGAAAATAAGGAATACGTTACGCTAGAAAATGTTTTAAATGTGTTTGCAGTGTTATTTATAATAATAGTATTAATTAGTTAATACTATTCTTATAAATGAGCATGATTTGATGCATCATTCAATAATATGACGCATAGTATTAGAATTTTTTGTAGCAAGGGCCCAGGCCCACCCTGAAAAATAACCGTAGATACGCCAATGCCTATTATATTATTGTAATGAAAGCCAAGAATAAGATAATGTTCAAAACCAAA